GAGTTTTGTGCTGCAAACAAGATCCAGAGCCACGTTGTGTATGTCAAATGTTTGCTACTGAGCCTTCAGAATTAACCTGGGGCGTGAACAAATCCTGGTCTCTGACCTGGACCTACCTGACCTTCCTCCACTGATGGATGGAAGATTCCCTATCCTCTCCAGCTCTTTCCCGCTTTTCTGTTCTTTCCTTTCAAGACACGCTCTCAGTCTGTAGCCCAGGCTGGACTCAAACCTCTAGCAATCCCACCTCAGCCTCTCCACTGCTAGGATTACAGGTGTGAACTACCACTCTGGGCCTCAGAGCGTTTTCCTCACACGTGTGTGTCACACACACACAAACAGGTTCTGGCAAGGTACTCCCTCGCCCAGATACACGGCCTGAATTCTCCGTAAACTGTCCCCTCCACACCAAAAGCAAGGCGGTGGCTGCTCATAGCCTCCCTTCTTGGTGCAGGGCCTCGTGCCAGCCTCCGCCAGTGCCCAGGCAGCCTGCCAGGAAAGGGCACTCCCTCAACAAGGAAGCATTTTTCTGTGTTTTGTCTGGAATTGCTTAACCAGTCTGGTCTCTCAGGCACCGTGTCCATTTGGGGGCCTCCTTCCACCACACGGGCACTTCCTGTGCCTCCTGCAGTACCATTCAGGTACACGTGTAGGTGCACATGAGACCTCTGTGACATGCTGGCTCTGTGCCCAGCAGGAAATACTTCTGTTGCCACCTCTGGAGCTGGCAGTCAGCCGACTGGCTCGGAGTGAGCCGCAAGGCGTTTCTTTCATTCGCTTGAAAGGGGAAATTAAACTGAGGAATGAGGTCTGACCCAAGCGCTTGCATGCAAATAGTTGACCTTTGTTTTGAATACACTTAATGAGACACAAACCAGATTGTGTGGCCGCCAGCTGCCTGCGTCTCCACCTCCTCTCTGGCATTTGAAAGGAGACTGGAAGAGGTGGCACGAGGCTGAGAGGATGGTAGGAGATGAGCATTGTGGGTCTTGTCTCTTACACACTGGAACTATGGGGCTGAGCACATGGTCCCCAAGGTAAGCAGCGGGACGTCCAAAGAAGATCCCTCGGACCCAATCCCAAGTTCTCAGCTGCTTTTGAGACACATCTCCGGTACAGGGGTCCTGACTTCCCTGAGCCTCCATGCCCCCTGAGAGGAAATGATTTCTCTGTGATACATGAGGCTACGTGGTTATATGGAAATGCAGGGGGTTGATTGTAATCATCAGGCTAGATGAGGTTCTGCTGAAGTAACAAGTAGATACTGCCACTCTCAGTATCTGAACGTGATACAGATTGATGTCCCGATCGTGTGAAGCCTGGGGCAGCCTCTGCCAGGGAACAGCTGCACTCTCTTGAAGGTGTGACTTCTAAGGTTGCCAGGTGACAGAGGGAACTGTGGAGTCATTGACAATATTTGGGGGTGGGAGCTAAGGAGAGATCTCAGTTGGTAAAGCACTCGCCTTGCAGCAGAAGACCTAAAGTCAATCCTGCTGACTGTGATGGTGCTCCTTTGTAATACTGTTGTGGGGGAGGCAGAGGTTCGCTTGTTGCCTGGCCAATCTATCCGAGTGGTGGGCTTCAGCCTAGTGAGAGACTCTGTCTCAAAAGAGGTGCATGGCATTCCTGAAGATGAGATGTGAGCTCATCCTTTAACTGCCATATGCATGTACACACACTTGCATGAGTTCTCACGCACGCATCAACTCACCCACATGAGCGTGTACATACTTGCATTTTAAAAAGAAGATATATTAATTTTATAGTACACTTATTTGTGTATGTGTGCACAAGCTCACACGCGTGCTCACACATGCTATGGCACATGTGACTTTCAGGAGTCATTTCTCTCCTTCCAGCAAGTGAGACCCAGAGACTGAGTCCAGGTCATCAGGCGTGGCAGCAAGTTCCTTTACCCAAGGAGCCATCTTACTAGTCCAAAAGGAGATATATTTTTATAGGACAGAGTCTGGAAAGCATCCTCATTGCCTACGCACTCTTTTTGTCAACCAGAGCCAGATGAATGGTCCTAACACAACTATCAAGGTATCTGGGAGAGATCTTCCTGGGTGCTTAGAATGAGAACAGAGGACATTGTGTGATGGATACATAGCATAGTCTCTGCCCACTTAGGACCCAGCCTAGGGAAGCACTACGCCGAGACTGTGGCCACTGATAGAGCTCTGCCTTGGTGGGCACAAATGGAGAGACAAGAGCCCAAGCTATGAGTTCCAGTATACCCTCAAAATGCAGAGTCATCTTCCAGAACTGCTCTTGGAGGCTCAAGTCCTACTTGCTAGAAAGGTAGGTCATTGTTTTAATTGAGTGCCTCCAAATTGCCAGCCAAGAGACTCGAGGATTAATGTCTGAGGTCTCCCCTCCCACACAGATGTGTCTGTCCTATGGTGGAAATGTCCAATTACAAAATAGGGAGTGCCAGGTGTGGTTTCAAGGCAGGCACTGCGTGTTGGATGAGTAGACATTGCCTCTGCATTGGGAGTGAGAAAGGACGCTAGAACAGTGGGCCAGTCCAAACTCTCCGGTGTCTTCTGAGACATTGGGGAGAGTTGGGACCTTATTCTCAAGGATGGGCTCTGTGCCTGGAAAAGTAAAGACCCACGACCGGATGTGTGCTCTTAAAACAGTTGGGTGGAAAAGAGCAGACACTCGGATCACAAGTTTGAGGTCAGCCTAGGCTACATAGAATTCTAGGCCAGCCTGAGCTACAGAGGGTTCTAGGCTTGCCTGGGCAGCATAGGGAGACCCTGTCTCAAAATAACGCAGTGGGTCAGAAGGCAGGATTGGGAGCAGGAAGCGAAGTTGGTTTAGTTGACATGGAAAGATTACATAGAGTGACCAGCAGATGGGGGGGCAGATTTGACAGCCTGTGGGGTCATAGGATCTCAAACAACCCCCTCCCCCTCCGCTGGGATGGTGGCTGTCTCTGAGGCAGGGCATTCTGAGAATGGGCATCTAGGCTAAAGAATAATAAGCTTATTTGGGGACCTTGAGCCATTTAGGAACATGGAGTACAGCCAGGTGGCAGTCTCAAGGAAAATGGGGAAATACTCAGGAGAGACATTGCTGGGAAATTAGCTTTGAGTGGCTTGGATAAGGGGGTGGTGGTTGAGTGAGATCATCCAAGGAGAGCCAGATTCAACAGCTGGGGAACAGGGGGTGAACCCAGAAAGAGAAAGGCAGGTGCCTCCTATGAATGAATAATAATGAGGAGGAAATACTATGTTTCCTCATATTCCAAGGGCATAATGGCAATGACTGTGCATCGGATTTAAATAGGTCATCTGTGACCTCCGCAAGAGCAAGTTCCTCTGGGCTGGGCACACCAGGGGCCCCATGGGGAGAAAGGTTCCGGAGCAAACAGGAATCAAAAAAGTAGAACTGAGTTTAGACCACTCTCCCATAAGCATTCATTGGAATGTGAGGGATGGCCAAAGTGGGGCGGGGAGCCAATTGTTTTGGGTTTTGTTGGTTTTTTTGTTTGCATGTTTTTGTTTTTTTTCCTTTTCACTGTGGAATACTAAGTCAATATTTTAAACGAATTTTTGTGACATTGTACGAATCTGGATGCACAATGATGATGAACTCAACAGGCAACCAGCATCCATCTTCCATGGTGCCCATCGGCTCTGCCGCAGGTGGGGGCAGCTTCCGCCCAGGCTGCCTTTCGTCTGCTCTGTGTCCCTTACAGAACGGCACCCAGAGCTGAGCCACCCACCACATCAGCAGAGCATGGTAGCAGGTTTCCTAGACTGGGTGTCCAGGCTCTGGCTCCCATGCACAAGTCCTGGGCAGTGGGGGCAGATATGCGAAGACCAGAGGAGGCTCAGGTTTTATAGACATTTTAAAAATAAGTGGCCTTGTCTAGTAGCCAGCGACTTCAGAGCTGGGCTGGCAGGATGGGAGACAGGGGCTTGTAGCCTAGACTGGAAATAGACGGAAAATGGAACAGGACCAAAGCGCACTAAGCCCTTAGGCACTGTGGGTATGAAGTACAGGGTGAGACCTCACCGTCAGCCACTTGTCTCTACCCTGGCATTACCATGCCTTCTCCCGTTTGTCTCTCCCCTACCTCCTGCAGCCCTGTCTCTTCCCTGACTGGAGTAACTGGTCCCTGCCTGGGTAGGGGCCAGCACTATCATATTGATGCTGAGCAAAATACAGTCCTTGATGACTCAGAGGGCCCTTCCCATACCATGGTGCGTCTAGTCTCCATGACAACCCTGAAAGGCCTTCTGTTCATATACTCAGGAAGCCGCGTGGGAGATGCAGGGAGTGGAGGCCAGAGTACCCAGGTCCCAGAAGTGTAGCACTGAATCATAGGGTTGGGATTTTGAGGGAGGACTTGACCCCTAGAAGCTAACATCTTTCAGAGACACAGTGACCTTTTCCACCTCTTAGTCCCCTTCCATCGGGGCGAAATCACTTGTTCTCTGTGAGTCTCCTTGTCTGTAAATTGGGGACCAACCGTGCATTGCCGCCTCACAGGGACTATACGGAACAAATGAGATTTTTTCAGTCAAGGCTGTGACCACTCTCTAAAGAGAGTACACATGGGGGTCATGTGACCTGTGCTTGGAGAGTGTGCGGTCAGAGGTCTTCTGTCACAGTGGGGATTGGAGGCAATGCTGCCCCTGCCGTAATTAAGATGTGCACTTCATGTTCGGGGCACAGTGACGAGGCAGAACTAAATTTTTACGACTTGACGGTAACCAGGTTCAAATCCTGCTCATTACATTCTGCCGTGTGCTCCTGAGCTATCAATTCTTCAGCATCTGAGGAGCGGGGCTGACAAATGATCGAGGATTTACCAACTTGCTGAAACTCTGAGACTGGCTAATATTTGAAAACCCGTTCGTGAACCCAGAGCAGGGGCTGAACATACGCTGCTGCTGCTGCTGCTGCTGCTGGTGGCCGCCTCTCTGTGGCCAGGCAGAGCTAACTCTTCGCTTCAACCACCGTCCTGTGTTCTGTGCTGACAGGTCCGGGCTCTGGTTCCCTGTGAGAAGCTGCCACGGCCCACCGAGATGTCCAGGCACCATAGCCGCTTCGAAAGAGATTACCGCGTTGGCTGGGACCGCCGCGAGTGGAGTGTCAATGGGACCCACGGGGCCACCAGCGTCTGCAGCGTCACCTCCGGTGCTGGTGGAGGCACAGCCAGCAGTCTCAGTGCACGACCCGGCCTCCTACCCCTGCCCGTGGTGCCCTCCCGGCTGCCCACACCTGCCACCGCTCCTGCTCCCTGCACGACAGGCAGTAATGAAGCCATTACCAGTCTCGTGGCCAGCTCGGCCTCCGCAGTCACCACCAAGGTAAGACCTGGGATCCTTTCTGGGGAGGAGCCAGGCAACCACTCAAACCCAGGCCGGCACAGAGGCCTTCCTCCCTGGTCCATGTCACCAGAGTCACAGCCTCCATAGGGGGTGCATTGCAGCTGTTTCTGAAGGTTAAAGTGGCCTCATTTGCCAGACTGTCTCTATATGTAACTAACTTGTCGGAAGACCAGCAGGTGCGACGCGCCACACACGCGCTGATTGAACGCCACCGAATGAGTGATATAAGAGTATTGCCAAGTATTTCCCTAAATAGGGGAACTAAACACAAATAAGTCCCCCTGGGGGTCATCAGTGGCCGGGGTTTTGCAGCTGTACTAGCCACCCAGGGTGAAGAGCCCATTACAGATTCATCACCACCGGGAGGTTATTCTCATGTCTATAGTCCCTATGAGCCTCACAACAACCCTGTAAGGTCAGTGTGTACACATGCCTGCTTGATTGCTAAGGGTCCCCAGACATACTAGTTATAGTAGTTACTGTAAGGACTCAGAACTCATACCAGCAGTTGACTGCAAGATATTAGCTCCCGATCACTCTGCCCTTTTTTTTTTTTCTGCAAGAGGCGGTTCCAGAAACCTCAGGAATGATGGCAAAAGCCAGTGTGTATAAAACGGAATGTGGAAATTAATGTCACCAAGGCTCTTGACTGGCTTTGGGATGAACGGAGGGGCTCTGAAGCCCCCTCTTGCATGCTGTGCAGAGCCCTTCAGGCAGACCGAGCCTCAGAGGGACAGCTGGTGGCCAAGGCAAGGAACACATTCATCCCATCATCCCCCTCGGCCAAGCAGAGGCTCCGCAGGCCGTCTTTGCCTCTGCCAGCCATTCAGAATCCCTTCCCAGGAGCCCTCTCGGGGCCTGCATGTGTGCCTGTGTGGGGGTGTGTATGTGTGTGCTGCATGTGTGTGTGTGCGCGCGCACGCTTTTCTTTTCCTGCTTTCATAAAGGTGGCAGGAGAAATTAAAGGCGGGAAGCCCCAGGCTGGGCCATTGTGAGGTAGCTGTGGTGGTGGACGATGCTCTCCGGGTGCTCTGTGCCTTTGTCTCTACGATTTTCAAAACTCCCTTTCAGCCCTGCTTCCCATTAATAACGGCACTGCTGGCCGCAGAGCCCGGCGGAGACCCGAGACAATGGAGCTATTGGAGGCCAGCTTGCAGCACGTTGACATCTTGCTGCAATGTCTTATTGATTTTATTTTCCTGTTATGAAAACACCACCCCACCAAGGCAGGGAGGGAAGTAATACCAGAGAGGAGCAGAGATGGAAGATTATTTGGGCACTCTTCCCCCAAGGCCAGCCAAACACATTCCTGTCCCGGGCACCAGGCCCTGGCCACTCTGAATTGGTGACCTCTGCCCAGGATAGCCTGCTGCCAGCCCTGCCGGCCACATCTGGCAGGCAGTCTTCGAGGCCAGCTGTTCACCATCTGGAGAACGGTGGCCTCTGGAGCCGGCAGCCAGGGCTCCAGGTGCGGGAGAAGCTGGACCCGCGGACAACACTTGATGGCTTCCATCCCTTCAGGATGAGTGCCCTAGAGCCAGTATTGAGTGCTCCTGGGTATGTCACTTAGGGTTCTGCCAGGTGAAAGACAGTGCCCATGGCTCTCTGAAGGGATGTCCCGCCCCTGATCTGGACACATGGCACCTGATTGGCTCCAAAATAGCTCAGTATTCACTAGCCCTCCTCCCTAAGCCAGACCCCAAACCACAACCACATGGGAGGAAAGAACAAGCCGCAGACAGAAAACAGCAGCAGGAACAAGGACTGGCGAGCCAATAGCCAACCCAGAGTGGGAGAAAGGGCACGCGTTCAGGCCTGCTAGGGAGGTCAGCGTCGTGGCCTGTGGCAGCACAGAGACAAGGTGCCGTCTCTACGGTGCCAGTTTCATGCCTGCAGGGTTTGCTTTGGATCTGGCTAGGGTCTGAGTTCTCTGGGTTGCTAGAGAATCGTATGCAGGGATCAGGGTGCAGGGACAGGGTGGGAGAGTAGCGAGGCAGCCCGCTGCCCAGGGTGGTTTCCATCGATCGAGGGCACTGGTCTGAGATGTGGGCCAGCTGTTCTCAACCTGTGGGCCACGACCCCTGACCCTTTCACGGGGGGGGGGGGGTCACGTCTCAGATCTCCTGCATACCGGATGCTGACATTACGATTCGTAACCGTAGGGAAAAATTACAGTTATGAAGTAGCAACAGAAATAATTTTATGGTTGATGGTCCATGAGGGACTGTATTAGAAGGCCGCAGCCTTCAGAAGGTTGAGGACCGCTGATGTAGGCAGTGGTGCCTCCTGTCACTCTGGACTTGCTGCTGCTGGCCCAGATGTCTGTATCTGGCACAGATGAGCCAGTATCTCCCCTGTTGACATTATTGGTAGAGGTGATTCAATGGAGTAGATAAAGCTAGGCTTTGAAGACTGTCTAAATTTTAATTCCAGTCAACCTCTGGCTGAGTGATAACTGAACAAAACGTCTGGCCCTGTGGACCTCAGTTCCAGGACTGGGTGGTCGTCCCTGATGACCAGATTTACCATGAGGATTGTGTTTATGGAATTCCATGTAAAGTGCTTGAAATAGAACAGGTACTGGCTGGCGGTTCATGCGCTAAGCAATGAGGTCACCCCTTCACCGCTGTCCCCAGGCATTGACCCTGGAAGAACAAGATTGTCCTGCTGTGAGGAGAGGGCTTCCCTTCTACCATCACCTGGGGGTGGGGGGGGGGGGAGAGGGAGTTCTCCAGAGGGAGCACCAAAGCTGGAGCCCTGAGCAGGTGGGGAACTGTTTGAGTGGTTGGGATTCAAGATGACCTGGAAGGAAGACTGGAACTAGGAGGGGAGGAGAGAGGGAAGAGGTGATGGAGGAGGGTGGCTTCTCGGATCCAAACTCAAGCTGAATGACCAAGGCAGGGGATCTGAAAGCTTTTCATCAGCCCAGGAGGCTCTTTCCTTAAAGGAAAATATAGACCCCCCACCATCTCAGAAGGCCAGGAAAGGAAGGAATGATGGTGTGGTCAGAAGGACCACCCCTAGGGACCCAAGCATGCTGATTCTGAGACAAGGCGCAGCTCTCAGGCCTTTGGGGACATCCCTTTGTTGTCAGGACAACAGGTTGAACATCCCATGCTCTGGTACTCGGGGCATCCCTGCCCACTCTCCATGCCAAAGTTCCAGTGCTAGGGTCGGCCCTGGCTCTGCCAGGACTGAGGGTATGGGCTGTTGTCTGGGAAGGCATTCATGCTCCCAGAGACTGGGGTAGCGAGATGATGGCAATTGTTTTTGTCATGGCCGCCTCCAGGCCCAATGTGATTTTTCTGTGTCTTCGATTATCCACAGCCCAAAGAATTCCTGTGTGTTTTGATGAAAGGCCAGTTGGGTAAGCATGGACTCCTGGGAGGTTGAGATACCAGGAGGATATAGAAGGCTATACCTTCCCACTCCCCAACACACAGCCATTGCTCTGCAACCTCCAGAATATGAGTTACCAGAGCTCACGGCAAGCTTTCTTGGAGACCACCCACCCAGCCCCATTTTTGCAGCTCAGAATAGTGAAGCTTGGAGAAAACCTAACTACTTCCCAAGACGAACCAACCCGGGCCAGCTCTCTCCACCCCAGGCTGCTTAGTTAGCAGCATCCATTCACCATGGAAACCATGATGGCAAGAGGGTGACAGCAGCTTTTGCCATCACTGGTCCACCTAGGGACCGTAAACTCTGGATTTCAGACCAGAAAAATGGGCAGGTTTGCTTCTCATGTCATAGAAGGGAAAATGTAAGGCAAAGAGTTCGTGGACTCCCACTGCGCAGCTGCCGGGAGCTTCTGGATCAGACAGCCTGGAATTGAATCCTGCCATTGGCAAGCGAGGCTTCGGTTTCTGTGTCTACAAAATGGAAATGATAATAGTATGTTTAACGTAAGGATTATGTAGATTAATATGTGCAGAAAACGCTAAAAGGATATGTGCCACTGAGTGACCATCCCATCAAAGTTCATTTTAAGGCTGGGAAGACGGTTCAGTGGATAAAACGCCTACTGTGGTCCTGAGTTCGGGTCCCCAGCAGCCATATTCAAAGACAGGCATGACAGCCCAGGCCTCTAATCCCAGTGCTAGGTAGGCAAGGACAGGTGGATCCCTGGGGCTTACTGACCAGCCAGTCTAGCCAAATCAGCGAGCTCCGGGTCCAGTGAGAAAATCTGTCCCAAAACCTAAGATGAGGTGTGGCTGAGGAAGACCCCTGATGTTAACCTCAGACCTCCTATGCCAACCTCTGACCTCTGATGTCAACCTCTGATCTCCGCATGTTTCTGCACACACGTACATATGTATACTTACAACTTACACACACGCATACACACACACACACACACACACACACACAATTAGCAACTGGGTCCATCCGCGAAGCTCTTCCTCTGGGGGAAATCAGCCTGCTGGTTGCTGTTCGGAGGTTCACGGAACTTTCCTGTCCCCCTCTGACGTGGTAGGAGGTGAAACTGAGGAACTGGGCCATCACCACATTCCTCCTCCTACTGGCTGTCTGGGCACTGGGGTGGGGGCGGGGGGGAATCACGGCTGAGGAGAAAGCATGGCTCCATGCCAGGCCTGTTTGTGAGAACGGAAGGGAGGCACCAATGCCCCGCAGTTGCTGCTGCATGAAATTTAAATTATTCTCAGCAAACCTGCTTGACAGATGAAACAGAAAGGGGACAGCTTCATAAAATGCAATTCTGTTACTGAAAAGAATAGACTGGAGAATCCTCACAGACGCCTGCAAAATAAATGTGGGAGGCCTCTTTTTCCTTGTGGTCAGAGGCGTTCAGTCTGAGACCTTCCCATCACCCCTTGGAGCTCAGCCTTTGAACATAAATCTGGCTAAGCAGCAGCAGCGGAGCCTGTGTTAGAAGCCCAAGGAAAGCTTAGAGGGGCTGGGAAATTGGCGCTCAGAGTACCCAGCACCTGGGGGGTGGGGGTGACATTTATGAGCAC